CCGCCGCTGGGGAGGGAGGCGGGGAAGGTTGGGGCGACGCCGCTGCAGGCGGGGAGGGTGACGGCTTGGGCGCGGCGGCAGCTGGAGGCGGGGGCACGGGCGCCGGCAAGGCCGCGGGGGAGGGCTGCTGCTGGCCTGGCGCCTGCGCCGCCGTGGCGTTGCTGGGGCGCACGACCACGGGGTTGAGAGGGATGATGACGGGGCTGAGGGGCGCCGCGGGGGGCGGAGGCGACGGCGATGGCGACGACGCTGGCGGCGGCTGGGACGGCGGCGGTGGCGACGGGGACGGAGCCGACGGGGACGGCGGCAGTGGCGAGGGCAGCAGAGGCGGCAGCGGGACCGTCACAAATGGCGGCGGGCTCGGCGCCGCCGCTGGGCTTGCCGCCGCTGGCGCCGGCGCCAGCTGAGCCGGAGGGATGATCACCTGGATGGCGATTTGCATTGACCAACGCGCATCGTGAGTCCTAGTTTGTGCCACGGTCGCAACTGCTTTGCATCAGCCGCTTTGCAGGCTTGTGAGAAGCGGCGCTTGGGTTGCACACGACAGGGTGAGCCGCTTGAGCCACCAAGTAGCCCATGCCCATGCAGGAAATGTGATGCCAAAGCCAACCCACAACCACCCATCCCGCAGTCATCACCGTTGTTGTGGGCACGCCGCTTGGTGGCTTGAACACTGGCTTGACCGCCGGCCCTACCGCCGCGCCCGTGGTCCCGGCCGCCAGCGGCGCCAGCGGCCGCGCAGCTGGCGCCGCCCCCGCGCCCGCGGGGCCCCTCGTCAGCGGCGGGACCCCTGGGATGACGATGCGGCCCTGCATCAATCCAGGGTCCAGGGGCGGGGTGTGGGGCCCGTCACGCCGGGAACCACGCACAGCGGTACAGTACGTTCTCGACCTCACATGGCAAGCGTGTTTCGTCATCACGCCGCCGTGTAGCGGGCGTGCACGCTCCCAGCAGGCAAGCGCCCACAGAGCCTAGTGCATCATGGTCAGGCGCGCGCTGCCGCTGGTCCAGTGGCCCGAGCCGCACCCCCGCAGCTACGGGGGCCGCAACTCGGTCGCCATCCATCAAAAAATTTGCCGACAATGAGAAAGGGGGCGCCCCCTCAAAAGCACCTGCGCGTCCTTTGCAACAGGCGTGTCTTTTAGGATGGTGATTGAGCCGTCGGCGTGCTGTATGTAGCCACGCTGCGTGCCCACGCTCACGACGAGCGGCTTGCCGCGCGGCGTCACCAGGACGCCGTTGATCACCGGCACGCCACCAGGCGTGGTGGGCAGGCGGCCCAATGCGTCGGTCGCGACACCACCGCTGCCAGGGCGAACGGGCAGCACTACGGCTGGTGCTGCACGGGCCAACAGCAGCCCTCCCGGTCCTCCATTTTTGAGCGACCTCGACCTGCTGCTACTCTCCACGCTGCTCGTGGCATCAAACCCCTTCAGCCGCCGCGAGGGATACTCATCAATCTGTTGAATCGCTCCCACTGAATTTATGACCGCCAGAAGAAGCAGCAAGAGCCCTGCTGCTTCTCGCCGAGACGCCATCACCCGTGAAGCGGGGTGCTACTCAAATTGGATTATTAGCGCCTCATGATACGCCGATTAGCCATTCGCAGCGCCATCGATTCGCTGTGTTCTCACTTCGTGTCACTCGGTATCACCCGTTTCGCGCGGCTCTTGAACAGAGGGAAAACGATCAAACGAGCCACCGTGATCAGAGCAATGGATTATGAAATCATATTCCTTTGTCGAGCTCGTCTCAGACACGCTGACATAGACCGCATGCACACAACACCAACACCTGCGTACCTGGCATCAGTGGTGCCGGGTCACAGCATACTCACCCGCCAGCGGCCCTTCTTGACTGCGCTTCGCTCACCATTCGGTAGCAATCTTGGGTGTTGGCTGGCGGGAGGCTGGCGATGCACGAGTGGCCTGCTGCATATGACGACCTGCTACCAGACCCGCACCCCTGGGTGCCTGCTCTCATCGCCTTATGCGCTGGGACAACCAGGGCAGTGATCAAAACACTGATATACATGGTAAATAAAGGCCGCGCAAACAGCTAGGCTGACCACGCAATCAAGCTTGGGGCGCCCACAAACCTTCTACGTGACCCCGTGTAACAAACGTTTCTGGTGCCCAGGTGATTGGTTTCTGTGCGGTGCGGAGCGCCTCGCAAGGCTTGCGGAGCTTAACATGGCTGGCTGCGAGAGAATAAGGAGTGTCCCTGCAGTTGGGGCATGACGAGGCAAGCCCGTACTGGGACGCTCCGTTGGGAGTCCTCCCCCCCAATGCGGCCGTCTGGGACGGTCCACCTCCCAGCTCTATGCGCTGCACCCCCTTGCTCGCGCCTTTTGGACAGGTCCACGCACGTGCTCAGCCCCGCAGGCCGGAGATATTGAGGTAAGGAAATGAGGGCACTGGCTCTGACGGCCTTCGTCTCGATCGGTCTCATCAGTGCAGGGAGTTGCGTCACGGCAAAGCTGTTGGCGATGCAGCTGCCGCTGCACCTGCCGAGAACAACACCCAAGCCCTCCACTGGATGCGAGCGCCCATAATTTCCAGTCAAAATTGTTGCTGCAATGATTGGGTGAAGGAACCCCTGCTCGCACTGCGCGAGCAGCACGCAAGCAGATTAACACAGCCCAGCATGGCGACCACAGGCGGTCCAAAATCAAGTAGTGATGATAAGGTCTATACTGGCTCTAGCTGCAGGCGCTTCGTGGTAGACACGGCCGGAGCAACGGAGAGCGCGCTGTATTTGGTGCTGAGCGGAAGCGAGACGCTCCAAGACCTTCGAGGTACGTGCTTGAGGTTTGAACACAGCGTTTCGACCCCTTCGCGCCCTGCAGAAGGAGGGTGCTGCGCGCGACGCCCAGCCGCCGCCTTGCTGCACCATTCCCGTCTCCCCGCCGCGCTCGCCGCCGCTGCCGCCGCCCTCGGCCCCCGCCGGCGCCCGCTCCCCCCCACCGGCCCGCTCGCCTGCCGACGCCCAACCTTACTGCAGGCGCGATCAAGGGGGCGGTGGGCGAGGCCCTCGGCACGCCCAAGCCGCGGGCGCGCGTGAAGGGGCTGTGGCACTTGGTGGCGGGCGCCCCCGTGTTTCTCTCCAGCCAGCTCAACACGTCAGCCATTTCAGGCAAGTGCTGCCCCTGCGCATTGGCACACAGCGGCACCTCCGCCCTTGCTGCCCCACCGCCAAGCCCGTGTGCTCGCACGCAGCTCAAGCCATAGCACTTCGGCAGGCTCGCGCCGCCCCAAAGGGGAGAGGGAATCAACGCGGCAGGGTGCAGGCCTCCCCTAACCATGCCCACCTCTCGACCGCGGCGCCAATTTTTCCATCAAACGCAGACGTTTTCCCGCCTTTTCACTACACCGAGCTCAAAGCCAGCCTCGATTTGTTTGAAGCAGGCGCCGGCGGAGGCGGCGCGCCCACAGCTGCGCCGGCCGTCCGCAGCGGCGGCAAGCCGCCGCGGCCGGCGGGCAAGCCGCCGAGGCCCGGCGGCAAGCGCGCGCGGAGCCCCGACAACAAGCAGGCCCATGCGGCGGGGCAGGCGAAGCGGGCGGCCGCGTCTCCGGGTGCCGTCAAGCAGGCCGCGGGCACGCCGCAGGCGGGCACGCCGGGCGCCCAGACCGCGTCGGCGACGCCGCAGCCCAAAAGGCGCAAGGTCGAGCAGCAGCAGCAGCAGCAGCAGCAACAGCAGCAGCAGCAGCAGAAGCAGCAGAAGCAGCAGCGGCAGCCTTCCCCTGCCAAGGGCGGCGGCGGCGCCTCCCCTCCAGCCGAGCTTCGGCGCGACGGCGCCCGCGGCCCTGCGCCCCATGCAGCCACCGAGGCCAAGGGCGTGGCCACCAGCACTGGCCACGGCACCCCGCCATCCACACAGGACGGGGGCGGCAAGAAGTTGAAGAGGCACAGGTCGCTCCGCAAGACGCCGCAAGCTGGCCAGGAGGTTGTTTCGCCGCCGGCCGGTGCACCAACGCCCGAGCAGCAGCAGGGGCAGCAGCATCAGCAGCAGGAGGAGGGGCAGCAGGAGCAGCAGGAGGCTAAGAAGGAAGAAAAGGAAAAGCAGCGGAAGAAAAAGAAGGGACAGCAGCAGCAACCTCAGCAGCAGCAGCAGCAGCACGAGGAGCATGTGCAGAGCAAGCATGCCGCGCCAACAACTGCTAACGCCGCCGTGACCGCTGAGAAGCCGCCGCGGCCCGCACAAAACCCGGCGGCCGCGGCCAACACCACGCCTCATGCCGCCGCCGCGCCGCGCAGCAACCGCCGCGCGCGCCGCTCGCAACCGGGCAGCCCGCATGGCGCTGGCCAGGCGGGCGCGCACGAGCTGTTAATCGAAGTGGTGGGCGTGGCCACAGCCGGCGTCTCCGACAGCCGTGCCGGCGGGAGCGGCGGCGGCGGCGCCGCGGCGGCGGCCTGCAACGGCCTGGAGGCGCGGTCGCCGGCGGCGGCAGGCAGCGCCGAGCGCGCGCGCGCGGCGCTGGCTGCGCACGGGTCGGCCGCTGCGCGGCTGCTGCAGCAGCGGCGGCGGGAGCAGCCGGGGCGGGGGCCGCTGGAGCTCGGGCCACTCCTGGAGCAGGCCGCGGGGGCGGCGGGCGAGGCTGCAGGCGCGGCGGGTACGCGGGAAGGGGCTGAGGTCGGGGGTGGCAATGAGCAGCAGAAGGGCAAGAAGCGGCGGCGCGCGGCGCAGCAACCCAAGGGCACTATCCCGGAGGGTGCTGGCGGCCCCACCGCGGGCAGCCCGGCGCCGACCCCTGCTGCCGCGCGCGCCGCAGCGGCGCAGCCTGCAGCAGCGGCGCCCCCCTCCGCGGCGGCGGGGGCGGAGGCGCCGACGCCGCCGGCGAAGCGCCGCAAGACCGCGGCGGGCGGCGCGGACG